TGCTGTTTGATTATTTTAGGCTTAGTCAAAAATTGATATGTGACTAAATCTAACTTTGCCAATCAATGACTGTCACTCTTCACACTTGTCTCTCAACAGATGCTCTGACCTTGGAAACCTCATGGCCAAATAACTCTCCTGTGCACAGCTGGGATCAACCCTGTAGACAGAGCTCTGGCACCTACACATTTGAAAGCTACAGTCTCGGACACGCATCCACTTCAAATGTGACATCAGTGGGGTGCAAGTAAGATAGTAAATAAACTCTTCAGGGTGAAGGGTGGAAGAGTCCACAGGATCTAGCAGGTTCCAAGTGAAGGCTGTATCCCCAGCACAGGCTGAGTTCAAGAGCAGGGACATCTCATAGCAAATACTGGACACTCGGTGGTCAGCTAATGATGTTATGGAGTAATGTTTTGCTTCTATTCACAAAAGTAATATTAAAACTCTTTACTGAAATTTGGTATGACCACCAGCCAAATACAGTGATGGCATTTCCATTTCATGCTGGAAAACTGAGGCATGATGTAGGTGTTCTTGTGCCTGTTTTCAGTATTCAACTTGCAACTGACGCTCCCATTTAGGAGCCAAAATCCTATTGGCTTTGAGGAGTCACTTTTAATTTTTGCAGAGTTTAGAGCAGAAGTTCTGAGGTCTCTGCTTATCAAGCTGCCTCCTTAGATCTTTAAAATTGAGATTGAACTGCTTAAGATTATGAAAGCTAGCTAACTATTGTCAGTGAATATTTTAAGATAGGGATGTTCCTAGAAATGCAGAGGCAGGCAGTCTGCAGCAAAAGACTCGGCAGCTCTTGAGGCTTTTGCCACTGGTTTTCTGTAGAATTGTGCAGTGTGGAGGAGGTTGGGAGAAGGACTGGTGGTGGTTCTTGCTGTTTGGGGGAGGAGGGATTGATGTTAGTGATGAATTTGTCTTTCTCCGAGAGACCAGCCGTCTGACTATACAGATAGTGGTTAGTTCAGTTGTTATGTGCTTAAGGAAAAAGGGCAATATATCTCACTGTTGTTTGGGCAATATGCAAATAACATGTGTATTGCCAGGTGGAAAATATGCTCTGCTGATAACTACACTGATGCAGACCTTCCTGTTTCCATTACAATGATGGACTCTTCACTTACTGAGGTGAGTGCTGTCTCTGGTGCCCGATATGTGGTTTTGAAGGGGTTTGAGCATTTAGTGCCTTACTCAGCCCCAGATCCAGATTAAGCAGCTATAAATCAGCACTGCTCCAAGACGAATGGAGCTGGCATCAGTCAGCAGGGTGCTGTGATGTCTTGTTCTGTGTGGGGGTAGTCCTGTCTTCTGGATTACTGTGGTTATAGCTTCCAATGTCTGCATGCTCACGTGCATCTGGGTCGTGCTTTTAGCTGGGGAGTATTTTAAATGTGGTTTCAAGGCTTGAGACTGCTGTTTCTGCAGTAATACTCACTTCTGCCAGGGAAGTCTGAGTGATTTCACTCTTATCCACCTGCAAGAAGCCACAGGATGTTTTAGTTGCAAATGCTGCCTTTCTCTGCGCTTTCTCCCACGGCTGCCATGTAACAGCTGAAAAATGACATCTTTGCTGTATGAAAACGTTCCTTCAGCTGGTGTGCCCAGATATACCTTCACTGCTGTATCGAATCCTTCATCTGCAGCTTGAGCTGCCAGTTGGCTTTCTCACGGCAGCAGCAAGATGAGCTGCAGCTCAGCACACCTGCTTGTGCTCAGCGCCACAATACTCGCTATCGAAATCTAGACCTCAGCCCTGCCACGCAGGGCTTCTAATTAGCTTTACAAACTCCAGTGTTGGTGGTGATGATGGAAGAGTATTGGTCAGTGGTTTCTGTGAACCTGGAAATAACCTTTGTGAGACTAATGAGCTTGCGACCTCAGACCTACCCTGGCTGGTGTGCGGTACCTGCAAGTGCAGCAGTGGTCCGGTTGTAGCAGCAAATCAAGGCAGAAAGTGCAGTGAGGGTAAAAAGTGAGAGTGATGGGGACTGCCTGTGGTTTCGGCATGCTTCTTGGTTGCAGTAAAGCAGGTAAGGAACTCCTAGCTAGTGCTGCTACTACTTAAGCTACCTTAAAGAGGATACTCTCAAGGGCTCTGACTTTATCCAGTCCTTCTAGAAAGTCACAGCCTTGTAGAGTGGTTTGAAATGCCTGTGCTTTATTGCTGTGGAGCTTTCTGTAACTCTAGCTGGGCTTAGAAATGTCACTTTCTATTTTTGCTTTTTTTAAAATATAAACTTTACACGTGACTATTCTAGAGGGGGCAAAAAGGAAAACATTAAAGCTTGCCCCAGAGAAAAGGGAAACGGGCTGTGTCCAGTATCTGTTCTAAAAACTGTGACGTGCAGCAAAATTTGAATATCCCTGTTTAATAGGAAAAGTCTCCCTACTTTTTTATTACACTGGTTGCAGATGTGTTTGAGCAGATCGAGCCCTTCAGCATGTAAGTAACGCAAATTATTTTGTCAAAGTGTTATCACTGTAGGAGTTTAGGGGCTATTTATTAAAGGAGCTCTTGTGAGAGCCAGAAGAAGCTTCAGCTTTTTGTACTTGTTATGATTTATAAATGTGAAAGTCATATCACAGTCTAAAAAAGAGATGATAAACCTTCCAAATGTTAATGTTTGTTTGGGAGGAGTTAGGCAAATTCTGGCCCTAGTCTTGTCTGCTGTGACAGAGGATCCTTGGATTGTTATGCTAATCGAATGGATGGAGGGTAAAAAAGTGATTAGGACTGTACTGCAGGATCTTATTTGACACAATCCGTTATTAGGAAGAACCACCATTCTCTGACGCCCTGTGCAAACAGATTTTATTAGGAAATCTAGAATGTGGGGGATACAGTGGTTGTTGTGTCTCTTTAAGTGTACCCTGTGCAATCCATGGGAGCTCATAATCCTAATAGTCAGTACGGGGTTTTAAAAACTGAATTGAGGGGTTTCTTTCATTGGAAAGAGAAACCATTGACCATGTGGTTACCTGGGGAGGGAGAGGGCATGTAGAACATTGTATTGCTTTAGTCAGTTCCAAGTGATGCAAGGGGTATCTGTCTGTTTGGGTGGTGTGTGTGTGTTTGTTTTAAAAGCCTTTTAGATTTCTTTTGTTTTCATTCCAACATGTTGTTCATTTTCACCTTCTCCTTCCTCAATACTTCTGTAGATCTAATAGCCTGAACAAGGCAAATGCAATGCTGTACTTCCTTAAGCTTCATAGAAAATTCAAATAAGTATAAAAATAGCCTGGATTTGCATTAGAGGAAACATCTGACTGGCTGGGGCAAGGCTCTGCTCGTGCGGTCAAGCTCTGATGAGTGAAGTGGAGAGGAGAGAGAGAAGGCGCTTACTGATGCTGGGAGTAGCTGGTTGCTCTTGGAAGTGGCCAGAGGATCTCAGTCACCTGCTTTTAAACTTTGTTGTGTTTCCTGGGTCCTCTGAGAATGTTTGAGGGGGAAGATACCAGAACATAGATGATAAGTCGCTGAAATAGTTTTTCCCACCCCCACTATTTCAATAGCGCTCTTGGACACTTGGTATGCAGGGAGCTACCCAAAGCTGGCTCGTCTCATACCTTCTGTGCTTGGAGATCGGTTTGGGGTTGTTATTTTTCTATTCAGCATTCCTCTTCAGCAGTGGGTGGAGTTCAAACCTCTGGTTTACCCTCTATTTTCACCCACAGAGACCAATCTATCAATTGAATAAGCAAGCTGGAGTTATCCAGGGTGAAATGAGGAAGAGCGATATTTCCCATTTGGTATCCCCCTTGCCATTTAAAAAAAAAAAAAACCACCCAAAAAAAACAACTTAAGAGGATGTTGGGTTTGTCTGTGATGTGATAAGACTTTGTTCCAGAACATATTTCCCATTTGGTATCCCCCTTGCCATTTAAAAAAAAAAAAAACCACCCAAAAAAACCAACTTAAGAGGATGTTGGGTTTGTCTGTGATGTGATAAGACTTTGTTCCAGAACAGCGCTGTAGTGGCCAAGGAACACGAGCAAAACTACGTACCAGCCGTTAACTGCTGAATTCCTCTCTGCTGTTCGCATACAAAGGAGGAGGCCTGAAGCCTTCTGAACTAGTTAGGTGATTATTATATATAATATTGAAAACCAGAGTCATTCAAAGACATGTGTGAAAATATTCAACACAACATGCAAGTTTCATGTGTTCCAAATCATCTACTCTGTTGAGCTGTTACTATTAACGCTTTTTTGTTTTACTGAAAGAAGTCTGACATCTATAGCTGGGTGAGGCTCCCCACACCTCACTTACGGGGTTTGAGGTCAAGACCTTGAAAATGGATATATCTTGATGCACAGCATTAAGATAGAACAGTGGTGTGGTAACGTGTATGTCGGTCATTTGAAAATGTGCATTAGAAGCAAAACGTGAAGTTGGGAACCAAAATATGTCTCTCGGTATGATATTTCTGAGACAAGATTTCTATAGAAACATAGTTACTACTCCTAATGATAATAATATGCTGATCTGCATACTGTATGTATGGGTGACTTCAGACTAGCAGATGAATCTGCACTTGCCATCTAGTTCTTCACTGCTGAAATAATTTAGGCATGGCTGGGGGAATTATTGCAACTTTGATGTACAATATTTCCTACTCACATGGCAAACCTTTCCTTGATACTAACTCTTCTCTCTTTCTGTTAAGATTGACTGTGCAGAGCCAACGCTAGCAGCAAGTCTGATCCCACCCAGGTTAGATTTTGCGCAAGCTTTTAAAAGCCTTTATCAAGATTGTATAATATGGATGAGTATCTGAAAGAATTTTGTTTTGGCAGTGATCGCTTAACTTCACCCCCAGAAGTTCTTACATCCTCTTTGGAAAGCACTGCACCAGCAACAGGTAAGCCCTCAATTTGGGGCACAGATGTGTGAACTCTTTGCGCTGAAAGTCATGGAAATATATATGCTGAAGTCTGCACACTTGCTGAACAGTAAGAGCCCTGTCTTCTGTTGCCTGATATTATAGGTTGCCTTGTTATGGAGGAAAAATCAGCCAAGTGCTCACGTGAAAAAGAGGAAGATGTGCCGACTTCCGTAGCAATGGAGAAAAACAACAATAAGGATCCGGCTGGTCCTGTGTCAGGTACAGTAACTGCTGCAGCACTCAGGCACTTGCCCCGTGAGGAAATGGCTTGCTTCCAGCACACCTTTGAAGTGAGGAAGTTGAGTAAGAAAAATAATGTAATGACAACTTGTCAATTTCTGGGCTTGCAAATATTTCAGCCTGCAAGCGCGCTCAACTCTCCCTGAAACTCTGAGTAGGAGTAAGGCTTTACCTACTTGCAGGCGGCCGGTGGCCTGCAGCACTGCAAGAAGTAAACATGAAATGAGTTAGTGAAATCTTGATGTTTGCCTAGCTGGCAGAACGTTGTGCAGGTATTAAACTCTAGGCAATTTTGGGAGGAAATAAAATGTTTTCATGGTTTTAAAAAGTTTAGTGATACATATCTAGACTAACTAATGCTTTCCTCTCTTTCAAAAACAATGCTTAGTGCACAAGAAGCTGGGATGGGTCAAGAAGAGAGATGAGATTAAAGGCCTTTTGTGTATGGTTCTGTCTTTGCTATAGCCATGAACACCTCAAAGAATAATCTTGTGAGGTCTGACGGTGCTTCTTTCACTTAAAAACTAAAAACAAAACTGGAGTACATGTACATGCTGTCATTAAGCTATTTTTAAAAAAGCTGATCTGAATAAGCAACACAGGATATGTGTGCGTGCTTTTTCGTAACCATTTTTTAACCTTTGCCTAAATATAAGACTTTTGGTCATCATTTCTTGTTTGGTTTTGTTTCTTTATTTAGTACTATCTTCCTGATATCTAATTCAGTCCCCTCACTTAAGCATATTATCTTTCTACCCATTGGCCTCTGCAGTTAATTTTCATATGTGGTCTGGGTGCCTTTGGCAAGGAGGAAACAGATATGCAAAACGGATCATAAAGAGTCCAAATAGCTTTACAGTCTGAGATGATGCTGCTTGTTGTATACCTCTGAATAGAAAGTGTTTCTAGTATTAGAACAGAGACACTGATGAATCTCCACTTGTGGTTTTTGCTAGTACCACACAATGTCTTCTAAAGGTGCTGGGGAGCCAAGTCAAAAGCGTAGGGTCAAATACTGCAGAAATCGGCAGGGACAGAAGAGATAGCTAAGCAGAGGTTGTTGCTCACGTGAAGGCTGAAAAGATAAAGCACTTCAAACCTGAGTATTTGGTTGGGTTTTTTCTTGTGCCATTTCTTTGGCTTGCGTCTGTGTGGGGGTGTGTGTGTGACTACATAAAGAGAAAAAGGGAAACAAAAAAAATCTAGATGTTCTACAAGGTATAAATAGCTAGCAGAGTTACTGCTATACAAGAAACTAGTGTGATTCTCAAACTTTCTTCAGTCTTTTAAATATTTTCCTTTTTAAATCTCTTTAATAGCTGCCTCTCTGGAGGTTATTTTTGCCTGCCTTAAATCTTCTCTAAATTGCGGCCCTTGAAAGTCTGTGCTGCATTTCAACTGGCATCACCAGTTCCTGAACTTACCAGTTCATTACCACCCTTCCGGCAAAGAGTTCTTTCCTTGGCTCTGTCAGCACCCTGCTAGTTCAGGTTTTAGGTACAAAGGGCAGTCCAAGTGTCAGATTATGTTTGAAGTTTACAGACACCTGAAATACCACAACAATGTGCATTCTATGACCTGGTTATGCTCCAGCGTACTAGCAGCAGCTGAAGTAGCACCTATTTCTTGACTTCATCTGATATTGCCTAGCGTGAAAGAAGAGAATTACAAATACTCATCGCTTCTCCTGTTAGTTTATGCATGGGATTTATTTTTTTCACATATTCCTGTGCTTCTAGAGTTTCAAACAAAAATTAATTCTAAACCATCTCTTTAAAAATCAAACAAAAAAACCCCCACATTGGTAGCAAAATAATGAAATTCATTTATCTAAGGGAATATTACTGTAACTCTTGCAACTTCAACAAGAGCAACTACAACCAGGAATAATATTCTCGCTTGTTAATATGTAATGCTGCTTATTGGGATTTCTTTTCAAGCCAAACATAATTATCACCACACTTTTTCCTTATGTCTTTATAGTGTTCTTTGCTGCTGCCTCTCCTTCTTAATGCCCTCTCCTGGCACTTGCTGCAGTTTCTTTTATCACTGTTGGTCTGTGGCTGGTACACTGGGTGTTGGAGGCTTGATTTGTTTCTTCATTACATTTGGGTTTGGGAATGTTTCTCCCCAGGAGCGGATGTGACTGAGAAGGAGTTCTGCCACGTGATGGAAGAACACAAAACCACATTTCAAAACGTTTTAAAGCAAGACCCGGTAAGAATCCCAGTGACAGTGAAACCTAGAACTGGTTTGGCTGGGCAGTGACAAAGAAAAACACTGCTGGAGAGGACAGGACCCTCCAGTGGTATTGTGGCTGTTCCCTTGCTGTAACTCCTCTCTGATACTCCTTTAGGAGGCAGACCAGGAAAAGAAAAATAAAGAGCAGAGTGAGGAAGCACCAGCTGTGGCTCCCAGTAGGAAAGGTAAGATGTTTTTGCTGAACACGTTTGTGTAATTCACTGGAGTATATGCCTTGGTCACACATGTCAAGAGCTGTGTAAAAAGGTGCAGGGAGCTGCCTGCCCCCCGCC